CTCTCTCTCTCTCTCTCTCTCTCTCTCTCTCTCTCTCTCTCTCTCTCCCTCTCTCTCTCTCTCAGCTATCATTATTATTTTTTTGTTTGTGTAGAGGTGTTTTGCCTGCATATCTGTCTACATGTCACATGCATGCAGGACACTTGGAGTCCAGAAGAGGGTGTCAGATCTCTTAGGAATACCACTATGTAGGTGCTGGGGATTGAACCTGAGTCCTCTGGAAGAGCAGCCAATGCTCTTAACCTTTGAGCTATTGTTCCCCCAGCCCCAGCTTTAAAAGAAAAAACAGTAGTTTCAGTTCTCTGTGAGTTGAGTTACATAGTTACATGAGTTACAAGCCCGAGTTACAGGTGAGAGCCTGTCTCAGCAAACAAACTGCATATAAATTATATATGTCATATTTGTATTAGTTATTTAGGATTTCATACCATGTAGTTTGATCATACTCATTCTCTACGCCTCTCAAATCCACTCTGGCCAGTCTCTATACCCTTTATTACCAAGCCTGAGTGGGTCTTGACAAATCCAATTTCTCCCCCATCTTGCAGACAGGTAGGGCATCAGGGTGGGCTACTGAGGGACGAATCCTGTTTCTTAAGTGCATTCAGAGAGCCAGAACTCTGTGCCAGTCTGCGAGGACCTAGAGGACCTCCTAACCTAGGAGCCTTAAATGAATCCAGGGGCCCCATAGGCAGTATATGCTCTTCTGATGTGTTGTGTGCTGGAAAGAACGGTCCTGCCCCTTCCACTCAGTACAACGATGCTCTTTTAAGAATGAACACAATCTTTGAATCACCAAACACTCTAGCCTAAAAACGCATCTTCTGTTTTCTGTCTTTGTTTTATTGTTGTTTGTTTGTTCGTTTGTTTTTTGAGACAGGGTTTCTATGTGTAACCCTGGCTGTCCTAGAACTCACTCTGTAGACCAGGCTGGCCTGGAACTCTGAGATCCAGAGATCCGCCTGCCTCTGTCTCCCGAGTTCTGGGATTAAAGGCGTGCTCCCCAACGCCCCGCGCATCTGCAGTTTTTCTGTATCAGTGTTCATAGACACTGATGGGTAGAGTAATCATTGTGAACCAGCACTGTCGATCTGACCCTATCTCCCAAGCAGAGACAGGTGCAGCGCAGGCTGGGGACCCCCGGAACCGGAACCCTCGAAGCTGGGAACCCTGTAAAGCTGCAGCTGAGTGGGGAATGGGATCTGGAAGGGACTTCCTGTTGTCCCTAATCCCAGCCTCCACCGGGCTTGCCGGCCCGTTCAGTTCTGGCAGCCAAGACTCGCTTCATCCCCTGGAGGGGTGCTCCACGGCACCCCAGGTGCCTCCTTTGCCTCTACCTTGGTGAGAAAGGGATGGTTGGGAAAGCAGCTGGAAATCGGCTTGTGCAGTCAGCTTGCAGAAGGGGCTTCAGGCTGACAGGAGAGAATGAGGGGGCTGAACCCAGGATGGGGAAGGTGAGGACATGGTCCACCGGACCATGACCAGGATGAACGTCCCCGAGGGGAAGCCGCAGCTTCGAGAGAACTGCTGAGAGCGGGCAGCTGAGTGGTGGGTTCCAGGCGAGGCTGTGTCCACCTGGGGCACACGGCAGGCACCACCGCACTGGCACCTCTTTTGTGGGCTCTCGGAGAACTTTCTGCGCCTCGTGACAAGAGACCCTGATTCCGACTTAGCCCTCACTTTCCCTGAGCTGGCTTCACTGAGATTTGAGGCTCTTGCTTCAGTGACAAAGGGGACAATACCATTCCTTTCAAAGAAACCAGAAAACATCATCCAGCACGGGCTCCACAGGGTCCTGCAGACTTCATTTGCACTCTGGTCAGACGTAAGGAGTGCTGGAGCACTTCGGAGGTGGTCCGGATACTGATTTCTTTCCTCTTTTCCAGGATCCTGGCAAAAACCTGGAGGGGGCGTGACGAGCAGGGGAGAGAATCATTTGCTGTTCTTCCTCTCTCTGATGTAGAAGATGTCTACAGACAGTAAAAGCATCCCGGCTGCTGAGAGCAAGGAGAAAACCCATGAGGTATGGTGGGATCCCAGGGAGGGTGGGATGCTTTGGAATGGAGCAGAGGGGATTTTCAAAACTCATATCTGGACAAAAGGAAGAGTGAGAGTCACTGCAGGAGTGAGCCTTCCAGATGAGGGCACTGGGTAGGGGTGTCGGGGAAGAGCGGCATCATGGGAAATAGCTTCCAGTCAGTCTTTACAGTGTGCTTTTGCTCTGTCTAGTTAGGGGCATAGCAGTCACAGAACGTAGGGAGGTCTTCTGTTCCCCGTTCCCTTCCTCCTAGGCCACGCCTCCTCATGGCTTACCCCTGAGTTCGAGTTCTCCCTGTAACAGCTGCCTGCCCGTGAGTGTGTGTGTGTGTGTGTGTGTGTGTGTGTGTGTGTGTGTGTGTGTTACTAAGGGCTGAACTCTACTTCTCATACATGCCATAAGAGTCTCCTACTGAGCTACATCTCAAATCCTCTTTTGACTTTTATTTTATTTTTGAAACTGATTTGCTAAGTTTTTTGTGTGGCCTTGGACTCTCTTAGTAGCCCTGGGAGGTCTTGAACTTGCTATCCTCCTGCTTCAGCTTCCCGAGTTGGCACCACCAGACCTAACTGTACCTTCTGTTCTCATCAAGATCTAAATCACGGGTGTAGGGCCAACCTAAACTTCCAATGATTTAACTTCAAGATTGCTAACTTAATTATCTCTGTAAAAGACCCTTTCTCCAAATAAGGCTCCAGTCTTTGTGTGTTTTGTTTTGTTTTTAGACAAGGTCTCCAGGTTAGCCTGGAATGGTTTGTGCAGCCAAGGATATCCTTGAACTCCTGACCCTCCCGCTTCCACCTCCCAAATCCTGGGATTCCAGGCTGTGGCACCATACCTGACTTCAAATACAGTTACATTCATGGCTGACAGGGATTTGGAGGGGTGCTATATAACACACTACATTTAGTTTTCTTATATATATATATTTTTAAAAAAAAGCGGTCTACACTGCTCTCTGTCGTATGAGGCTTCCGTGGAGAGGTGACAGCTGCTTCCAGGGTGCCCTGTTCATGTGGACTGTGCATCTTCCACCCACTGCCTGTCCTTGCTGGCAGTGAGCCCTGGATAGAAAGAGAGGCCGACCCTTTAAGACAGCGGTTCTCAACCTGTGGGTCAAAGACCCTTTGGGGGTTGAACTACCCTTTCACAGGGGTCACATATCAGATATTTACATTACGTGGGTTTTTTTTTTTGTTTGTTTGTTTGTTTGGTTTTTTGAGACAAGGTTTCTCTGTGTAGTTTTGGTGCCTTTCCTGGATCTCGCTCTGTAGCCCAGGCTGGTCTCGAACTCACAGAGATCCACCTGCCTCTGTCTCCTGAGTGCTGGGGTTAAAGGCATGCGCCGCCACCACCCAGCTACATTACAATTTATGGCAGCAGCAAAACTACAGTTATGAAGTAGCAACAAAAATAATTGTATGGTTGGGGGTCACATCATGAAGGTCCCAGCATTAGGAAGGTTGAGAAGCACTGGTCTAAAGTGTGCCTTATGTTTGAGTGTGCATTCCACTAGCCAGCTGTCTCCACCAGATCTCCAGTGCTGATAGGGAGTGTGATCCCTAGGTTCCAGGTCATGGGCAGTGCTGTGGAGACATGCTCTCTGGGCAGGAGGAGACAGCCGTGGCAGCCTCTCAGGAGTCAACACATCTTAAGGCAGAGCCAGAAGAACCACACCCTGAGGAGGTATCACTGGAGGACAGAGCTCCAGGAACACAGGGCTGGATGCCCCGGAGTCCTGGCTCTAAGGAGAAAGCCCTGTTCCTGCCTGGCGGAGGTAGGAGAAGGGTGTGTTTTTCTCGGGGAGACATTCTGGGGAGAGTTGAGGGTTTTACTGAGGGAAGTAGAGGCCCCAGATTTTCTTCTGCCTCCTGGCAGCCTTCGAGTGGGTGACCGGCTTCCTGGGTTGAATCGGGTGAGGGCTGAGGTCGCTGGCGGAGCATCGTGGCCCAGGATGCTGGCTGCTCTGAGGACCCTGTCTTCCTGCAGCTCTTCCCTCACCCTGGATTCCAGTACTTTCCCGAGGGGGGAGGACCAGAGAACGACAGGTGGCCGCGGCCCTCCTCACTGCCTGGTCCCAGGTGAGTGTCCCCTGAGGGTCCCTCCCGCCTGCCCAGGACAGAGGCAGGACGCTTCCTGGGCCTCACATGGTACAGTCTTTTCTGTAATGGGTTCAGCCTGTGACCCGCCCTGCCTCGAGTCAGAACCTTCTGCAAAAGTGCTGTTGGGCCACCTGGGAGCCCTCACCAAGACGTGGGCTCACAGCAGTCCTGGTACAGCTGGTGGAGAAGGAGGGAGCAGAGGGGCTGGCCTGTCATTGAGAATCCTCCTCTGAGAGATGAGTTCAGGGTGGAGACCATGTGGGGGCCTGAGCTGTGCCCATGGACCCTAAAATGCTGCCTTGCTCCTGACCATCACATCCCACAGAAGGCCATTCTTGGGTGGCTCTTCTGTCCAACCATCTAATCCAAGTGATGGGGTCACTGGAGGCAGCGGTTTGAAGGCCTGGTGTTGACATTTTTTCTTACCATGTCCACAGCAAACCCTGAATAGTGTTGTTTTCATGTTGTCTCAGATGCCGGTGACCTTTGAGGATGTGGCTCTATACCTCTCCCGGGAGGAGTGGGGAAGGCTGGACCACACACAGCAACATTTCTACAGGGATGTACTACAGGAGAAAAACGGGCTAGCCTTGGGTAAGGGCTCATCTGCAATGGCGCCTGCCTGTGGCCTCAGGAGTGTTGAAGGCTGCCCTGTCATTGCCTGCCCACCCACCCTCACCTCCTCTCCCTTTCCTCTCTTCTTTATCTGGACAGCACTGCTCTGCAGAACCTTCCACACAGATGGCCATGTCTGCATTCGTCCTAGGAGAATGACCACAGGCCAGGTGCCTGCTGAGTTCTAGAAACGGGATAGGAGGGATTAATTTCCAACTCCATTTGATCAGCTCAGATTGGAGTTTGAGCAGCCAGAGTGTTGGGTGTGGTAGTTCACACCTGTAACCCCAGCGGTTGGGAGGCGGAGGCAAAGGCTCCAGGCCTGCAGGGCTATTTAAAAAGACGCAGCAGCCATGGCGGACAGTGGCCGCCGCACCGCACAGTGTTGGTGTGGGATTCTGTCTTTCCTTTTTCTGCGTTATCCCCGAGCTGCGTCCTTCTCAGAGTCCCAGCTTTAGACGTGTCCGCTCCTCTGGAGGCTCCCGGTTGGATGGGCCATCAGCTCGCCTCTTGGGTCCTTAAGCTAGAAGTATTGCTGCTGCTTCAGGGAACCTACGGAGCAAGCGTGTGCCTCCAGGGGTGGGGAGGGCTTGCATCTCAGTCCAGGCTTCTGACTCCTCAGTTCCAAACCAATCTTGACAGAATTTGATGATGTCTTCAGCTCTTCATTGTTGTCCTCCATCGTGTAGCGACTTCCAGTTTACTAGTTAATGTGGAATCCGGGGCCTAAGCAGTGTGTGTGTGTGTGTGTGTGTGTGGAGGGGTGGGGGGGCGGGGCCCCAGGAGACCGGAGGTTAGCCTTGAATGTTGTTATTTCAGTGCTGTCCACTGTGTTTTGTTTTTTGTTTTTTTTTTTCAAGACAGGGTTTCTCTGTGTAGCCCTAGCTGTCATGGATCTCACTCTGTAGACCAGGGTGGCTTTGAACTTAAAGATCCGACTGTCTCTGCCTCCTGAGTGCTGGGATTAAAAGGGTGCATCACCACTGCCCAGCTCACTTCGATGTTTTTGAGACAGGGTCTTTCATTGGTCTCAGATTCACCAGATGTGTAGGCTTTATAACCATTGAGCCCCAGGTACCCACGTACCCATCATTAGCACTACAGGCATTGCCACTGTGTCTGGCTTTTAATGTGGTTGCTGAGGACGGAACTTAGATCCTCACACAGGCTTAGCTGGCAGGCCCCGTGACCTTGGCAGTTGTGTTGATGATTGGATGATGGCCCTGAGACCCATTCTGGGCATATCAACCACTCACTCCTGTAGTTAGCCCAGGTTTGCCTACTACCCTTTCTTAGCATTTCCCAGGGCCCAGACCAACACGTCCAAGCAAACCTTGGACGTTAGAGGCTCTAACCAATGACCTAACAAATTCCTGTCCTCCATTGTGGCGTGAGAGTCACAGCCCTCTTCTCTTACTGACTACACTAGATTCCTCAGGGACACAGCACACCGGTGTCCCAGCCTCTGGAGCTTGGCCTCTGCACCATCCCCGGTTCCCCTGAATGCAGATGCAGGAGCAGGTGGTCTTCTGCGGTCCCTGCTGCTGTCCCCTGCTTGGCAGCTGTGACGAGGAAAGCGATCTGCTGAACTTCATGTGGTGTTAGGGATGGGCCTCACACATACCAGGCCAGCACCCTACCCCCAGCCACACTCCAGCCCTTCTGAAAGGATACATGTATTTATTTATCCATTTGTTTAAGTTTTGTTTTGAGACTGGGTCTCATAGCACAGCCTACCTGAGAATAACCTTAAACTTCTGATCTTCCTCCCTCCGCCTCCTAAGTGCTGGAATTCCACAAATGTGCCACCAAACCTGGAATTTTTAAAATTTTGCTTACTAATTTTTATTGAGACAGTCTCAATACTGTGTAGTCTAGGCTGGCCTTGAGCGAAGTACCCTCCTCCAGCCTCCCATCCATGCCAGGCTCTAAAGGAACTTGTGAGTGCCTTTTGTCTTGTCTCAGGTTTCTAGGGCCCCTGTTCCCCCTTTTCCCTGTTCAGTCAGTTGGGGCTGGAGATGGGGGATCATGGGAGGAGTGTGGTTTGGGAGTGATTCTACCACTAGGTAGAAGCACAGCTTTTCTTTCTTAACAGGGTTTCCGTTCAGCACACCTTTCTGGGTCCCCCAAGTTCAGGGGAAGGGCGAGGTGGCAAGTTCCAGCAGACCACCAGGTGCTGAGGAGAGAAGAGGCCTTGGTTCAGGTGAGGGCCTTAGCTTGTGCCTTAGATTGGGGCTCCCCCTTGTGGGTGTGGATGCCGGGGTTTCCAGACCCCTCCCTCTACTGCTGGAGGGTGGCTCTTGTCTTGAGGGATCCTCTGGCTTTTCCTTCCCTTTTCCAGTCTCCCAGAATCTAGCTCCTGGGTTTTTAGCTCTGCCTGCCCATCCCTCGGGCTCTCCAGAAGTTTGTCTCAACTGGCAACCCTGTCTTTTTACAGGAATTGTGGAAATGAGGAAGGTGGTACCAACCCTAGCCTTGGCAACCCTAGAGGATACGAAACCCTTAAGGACCAGGGCCAGGTGCGCTCCGGGGGAAGCGTCACAGTGTGGTCAGCAAGTGGCTAGTGGCCCGGGTGCAAAGATGGCCAGAGACTCAGGGGACGCCAGGCAGCCCAAGCCCTTTCCACCCGACACACATCCTCTCAAGAACCCAGAGAACTGCGGCCCAGGGAAACCCAGCGAGGAGGAGAAGGGCGCCCTGGAAAGTGGCGAGGAAGGTCTTGTTGTGGACGGTGAAGCGGGCAGGAAGACATACAAGTGCGAACAGTGTGGCAAGGGCTTCAGCTGGCACTCGCACCTGGTGACGCACCGGCGCACTCACACGGGCGAGAAGCCCTACACGTGCACGGACTGCGGCAAGCGCTTCGGCCGCAGCTCACACCTCATCCAGCACCAGATCATCCACACGGGCGAGAAGCCCTACACCTGCCCCTCGTGTTGGAAGAGCTTCAGCCACCACTCCACGCTGATCCAGCACCAGCGCATCCACACCGGTGAGAAGCCGTACGTGTGCGACCGCTGCGCCAAGCGCTTCACCCGCCGCTCAGACCTGGTCACACACCAGGGCACTCACACGGGCGCCAAGCCGCACAAGTGCCCCGCCTGCGGCAAGTGCTTCACGCAGAGCTCCGCCCTGGTCACGCACCAGCGCACCCACACCGGCGTCAAGCCCTACGCGTGCCCGGAGTGCGGCAAGTGCTTCAGCCAGCGCTCCAACCTCATCGCGCACAATCGCACGCACACGGGCGAGAAGCCCTACCACTGCCTCGACTGCGGCAAGAGCTTCAGCCACAGCTCGCACCTCACCGCCCACCAGCGCACCCACCGCGGTGTGCGGCCCTACTCCTGCCCGCTCTGCGGCAAGAGCTTCAGCCGCCGCTCCAACCTGCACCGGCACGAGAAGATCCACACCACCGGGCCCAAGGCCTTGGCCATGCTCATGCTGGGGGCGGCAGCGGCAGCGGCAGCGGGGGCGCTCACCGCACCCCCACCTGCTCCCACTTAGAAGCCACAGAGAGACAGAGAGCAGTAGAGTACCCAGGGTAGCGGGGACTGTCCCCGCTGATGCTGGGGCCCGGGAAGAAGATCCAGGGTCCTAGCCAGTGGGATGGACCGGGATGAGGGCGGGGAGCTGTAAGGGTCCAGCGCTGGCACCAGGTGGGACATGGTGACGTGGGAGGAGAGGGCAAGCACTCTAGCTGCTGATTAAAGGCCTTGGATTTCAAGCTGTGGCCTGTGGCTCTGTCTGCCTGGTGCTTGAGCCGATCTCTGAGCGTCCGTCCGGCAGCTCTTGGTTCCACCAGGGTCCTCGTTCAGGCATTCCTGAGTCACCTCTTTTGGTCTGGAAGCCTCTCTTCCCTGACTCTTGGGGTCAGGGTCCCTTTTGTCAAAGGCCTATTCCAGAACATTGGGACCTTTTTTTAAAAAAATAACTTTTGTGGTTGTTGGTATCTATGTATGTGTATGTGTGTGGGCACGCACGTGCCACAGCGCATCGGTGGAAGTCAGTCAGAGGACAACATTTCGAGTGTGGGTCCCAGGTATGGAACTCAAGTTGTCAGGCTTGGTCGGCAGTAGGCATCTTTACCTGCTGAGCCATGTCACCCTGGTTTTGTTTTCTGAGACCCGGTTTCATGTAACCTGGAACAAGCTTTGTAACCAATGTTCCTGGCCTCTACCCTCTGCGTACTCCGATTATGGGTGTAAACCACCCAGCCCGTCTTGGGGCCATTAGGTCTGTAAGCAAAGGCTCTGAGTTCAGGTTTCCCAGCTGGAAGACAGCCAGTCACTCCTGAAACTGAAGCCAGGGAAAGGGGTCCCATCCGCTGGCATCATGTCCCAAGGGCACTTGGCACCCGCTGAGCCCTAGCCTCTGCTTTGGCTTTTACATCGGGACCCCGAAGCATCGAATCTGCTGCCTCAGGCTCCTGGCTGTTGGGTGGGTGTCTCCTCTCCATCTGCTCACCTTGGGGCCTGCCAGGGGACTGAGGGTTCCTCCAGGGACCGCTCATCTCCTGGGTATGTGCCGTTTATAATGTGCTGTACCTTCCCTTTTGAACAAAAGTTCTGATTTTTAACCTCTAGCATCCATTCCCATTTGCTCCTTTTAAAACCCAGGATCCAGCCTGTGATCCTGCACTGTGGCTCAGTTGCCAAGAGAACATTCAGCTCTGCTATCAGAGGCCTCAGGGAACCATACTCTGTCTGCAGCTCTGGGTGGCGCCTAAGCTTCTAGGGGGTACATTTCTGTAGCTTGACTACGATACAGACAACAGTAACAATAGCTGGCCGGGCATGAAGCAGAGGCAGCAGATACACTGTATGCACTGTCTACATTAATTACCTCTACTCTCTGACTGGGATTGTTGCCTAGGTTTTATTTGTTTGTTTTATGTGCATTGGTGTTTTGCCTGCATGTGTGTCTCTTAACGCTGAGCCACCTCTCCGGCCCCTGAATCACAGGTCACACAACCAGAGGGCTGGAATCGGTGGCAGATTGGGTCTGGAAGGGTTGTTGCTGTGTTTTTGGTTTTTTGTTTTGTTTTTTTGTTTGTTTATTTAGACAAATTGTATAGCTCTGGCTATCCTGGAACATGCTCAGGAGGCAGAAGTAGGCAGATCTCTGAGTTCAAGGCCAGCCTGGTCTACAGAGCAAGTTTCAGGACAACCAGAGCTACACAGAGAAACCCTGTCTTGAACAAACAAAAAGTTTTATTTAGACAGGATCTCAGGGAGCTGAAGTTGGCCTGGAACTCAGTAAAGGATGACTCTAACCACTGGTCATACTGGCTCTGTCTCACAAATGCTGGAATTACAGATGATCTCTACCGTGCCTAGCTAGATGGTTATTTATCAAAGAGGCCAGGAAGACAGACTGCTACCTCCATCTTGTCTGCACCTGACCAATGTCACTCAGCCAGCAATGGGATCTCTGTGTGGCTCAGTGTGAGGGGCTGAGGGGGCTCTCACCTGTGACGGGCTTCTCTCCAAGAACACTTTAAAGAGGGCGAAGGACTGCTTGCAAAGACTTGTCAAAATTCGCGGGACCTTAGCGTACTGACTCACTAGCACGATGGGTATTGTGGACTGTGATTTCAGTTCCTCAGGCTGTGTGCCTGGTGCACTGGGGATGTGCAGTGACCCACTGGGACAGATTACACAAGAGTACGTTCAGAAGAGAGGGGCGCCTTGAAAATGTTTAACGAGCAACAAATAAAATGAAGTGTTAGTGCTGTGGGACTCGAAAGGAACTGATGACTTGGGTGGTGGGGTGTCATGAAAGGATAGGACGCCTGAGGAGGGTCTTGATGTCGGAGGGCACATGGCCACAGCTGAACGTCTGTCTGTCTGGTTTACTAGTGAGCTGCTGAGAGCAGAGCGCTGGCGAGGACAGAGCGAACACATTTCCTTCTGAGCTTCCCGCGCCATGGTTCAGGGTCCTGGCGAAGAGTGGTCTTAGCTGGGTGGAGGTGGAGGTCGGTGGACACAGCTCTGGCCTAGGACGCTAGCTCCCCGGAGCTCTTGGCGGGCAATAGATCGGGAGTCTGACCTGTTTTTTCCACACCAGAGGCCCCACCCTCCTCCTGTCCCCAGCCAGTCAGTTGCCAGGGAGATGGGCGCGAGAAAAACCAGCCAATCACCGCCGACTTTCTCTGCCGCGCTCCAAGCCTCGCGGTTGTCCGGGCAACGGTTCCAGGTCACTGTTCTTAGGAAACGGTGCTGGTTTGGGGTCTCCAGGTTCGGCCCTCAGAGGAACCAGACTGTGTTCACTGACTCCCTCTGTCAGCTGCCTTTCCTCGCCGGAGCTTGCAGGGCTGTGGCCCTGGCTTACCTGAAACTCGCTGTGGAGAAACAGACCAAGATGGACTAGAACTTGCAGGGATCGCTTACCTCTGCCTTTCATGTGATGGGATTACGGGAACATACCACTAGGCCCAGCTTTTATTTATTTACTATTTTGATTCAGATATATTTTAAATTTTGTCTTTACACAGTTTGTGTTTAATGCTGCATGTGTATATTCATATTAAAGTCTGGCATATAAAAACATAGTAAACTTTTCGGCATAGTAAAAAACAACTGATTATAGAAATATTCGTTTATTTGCTCAGTGTTGGCAGCACATGCCTTTAATACCAGCACTTGGGAAGCAGAGTGAGGCAGACCTTTGAGTTTGAGGCCAGCCTGGTCTACCGTGTGAGTTCCAGGACTGGCAAGGCTACACAGAGAAAGTTGTCTTGAAAACAACCAAAAAAAATTTTTTTTTTGGTTTGTTGATGTTTTTGTTTTTTTGAGACAGGGTTTCTCTGCATAGCTTTAGAGCCTGTCCTGAAACTCACTCTGTAGACCAGGCTGGCCTCAGACTCACGGAGATCTACCTGCCTCTGCCTCTGGAGTGCTGGGATTAAAGGCATGTGCCACCACCGACCGGCTCAGATTTTTGAAGTTTATTAAGTGTGGAGTTTTCCTCCTCTCTCTGTCTCTGTCTCTCTCTCACTCTCTCCTTCCTTCCATCTTTCCTTCCTTCCTTATTTTTGGAGACAGGGTCTCTTTACATAGTCCTAGCTTGTCCTGGAATTCACTATGTAGACCAGGCTGGCCTCAGACTCACAGAGGTCCACCTGCCTCTGCCTCCCCAGTGTTGGGATCAAAGGTGTGCGCCACCACACCCGGCAGCATTTATTTTTTATGTGTATGAATATTTGTCTTTATGCATTTCTGCACCACGTGCATGCCTGGTGCTGAGGAGACCAGAAGAAGGCGTCAGAACTGGAGTTACAGGCAGTTATAAGCTGATGTGTGGGTGCTGAGAATTGAACCTGGGTCCTCTGGGAAAGCAGCCAGTGCTCTCATTTTCTGTATCGCTGTACAGACATACCCAGCAACACCAGTTGGAATAGAATGAAGTCTGTCTACTCTTGGCGGAGTCACCTCAAAGGACAGGAAAGATCAGTCGTCAGCTAGCTGGCATACTAATCTATAGACTGCTTCAAAACCAGCTCACAGGTGATGCCAAGTAAAATAACCAACCATATAGTCATTAAAACATAACATATTGGAAAAATAATAAAGTGGCTGGGCATGTGGCGCACACCTTTAATCCCAACAGTGAGAGGCTGAGGCAGGTGGATCTCTGTGAGTTCCAGGCCAGCCTGGTCTACAGAGTGAGTTCCAGGCTCCCCAAGACTACAAAGAAGATCATGTCATCAAAAAAAGAAAAGTTCTTTTGAAACCTTAAAACAAACAATCATACAACAACAAACCCCAAACACAGCCTCCAGAACCACACACGCTGACCTGACCTTGGCCTCTAGCTGTAGTTTGTGGATCAATATATTTGCTGAGCCAATGGACGTTCCTGGTTTCTTCTGGTTTCACATGCATGGCACAGATGAGGGCTCTTTCAGTGGCAGCAAGTGCGTGTTTGCCTGGGTGTGCTCATGTCAGAAGTCATCCTCAGCTGTCTCCAGCCCCCCCTTTTTTTTTTGTTTTTTTAACCTAAGGCATTGTACATCTCTCTGTTAATGTAGTTCATATTCTTATGAACCACCAAAGCCCCCTAAGGCAGAGACCCACTGGGGTACCATTGTACTTCATTATCCCCAGCCATCCGCATTGTATTTGTTCAAGGTGAATGTTTCCAGTGACTAGGTAATTAAGATCTTGACCTGACCTTTATGGCCCTGGATCCTAATTCATTTGAACAATATTCACTTAGGAGGATGGTCAATGAAAGGCAAAGTTATGAGCCTACAGAATGATCTGGAAACAGAAGAATCTGGGACCTTGGGAGTGAGGGAGCCCAGGAGAGGCTGGCGTCAGGGCCCCTTGCCTCAAGGAGTCTCCTACAGAATTGCTAACCCCCCTGACCTGCCCACGAATGTTTTTTATAATTTTTATTTTTCTGCGTGTATGTCTTTGTCTCTCTCTGTAGTTCAGGGGACGACAGGGAGTCACTTTTCTCCTTCGGCCATGTGGGTCCCAGGGATGGAACACAGGCTGTTGGTTGTCTTACCTGGAAAGCCACCTCACAGGGCCTGGCTCTGCAAGTTTTACAAACCTGGTCCCCCCTTTGTGGTGGACAGTGCAGGACCAAGCTTTTTACTCTTTTCTAGACAAATCCACATTTTGGGGAGGCAGACTTTTCTTATCACCTTCTCTTAGTGTACTGACCCTGGAGAGTCTAACATTGGAGATTCCACATCAGTAGTGTGGGGCTGGGCATATGCTCTGGGCTGTGTGAGGAATAAAAATACTGTGCCTGCTCCTGCTCATGGGTAAACAATCAAATAAAGCTTATCAGCTTGTAGTTTTGCAACAGACTTCGAAAACTAGGCAGATATGGGTCCTCTGCCTCTGGGATATTTCTGTCTAGATTCTGATTCTGTTCTGGATTCTTAATTCTAGGTTATGTCAAGCTGATTTTTGGAGTATTTTGGAGGTTGGATTGTTTTGAATTCTAAAAGGGCTGACCAGTCACTGGTAGTGTACACACAGACCACAGCATTGTGTGACTGCCTCTATTTTCTTCTCAGAACTCTGATTTTTCAAAAAGACTTCCCAAAACTAATAAAGTCAGACGACACAAGACCTCTAGAAGAGTATTAACCTCACCATCTACTCAGCCCTGAAGGCAGGCAGCTGGACCCAGAGCTGCGGGACAGCGTGGCCGACACTGCCACCTTGTGGCCGCAAAGGGAGGAGCAGGTACGCCGGCTCCCATCAATGTGACTTCTTGGGGTTGGGGAAACTGCCCGGCGGGCCTCAGTGGCTTCTTTATTTCAGCGCCTCCTGCTGCCCTTCCGCATGCTTCCCCACACCCAGTTACTGTGGCTGGTGTGGTCTCGCTCAGGGGTGGAGGGTGTGTGTGTTAGGGTGCTCACTACTATTAGGGTGAGTTCTATTCTTTGCATTTTTTGCTTTAGATTGATGGAAAACAAAAGGAAAAGGAAAAGAAAACAGAACCAACAGTGCTTTTTGAACAGCCTAAGTTTTGTGTAGCCTCCACAAAAAGTCCTGAGGTGGGATTGGCTCTTGAAAACTGAGACAGGGGAGATGGAGATGGAAAACAGACCCGGCATCTGGCAGGAGGGTGGGAGACAGGGCTTGGTTCTGGGTTTAGACTTTTGTGAGTGACTACTGGAAGCTTTGAAGGATGGAGAGGAAGTGAACAGTGGAAGGGTTTGTGTGTAACCCAACTCCCTGATGTGGGTGCGCAGCGTGACCCTGCGTCACAGAGCCTGTCAGGGCTCTGGGGTTGTGGAAGGGAAGGACAGTGGTATGACCTCTCGGTGAGGAGGGAATGGGTGATTCCCCCTCCCCCTTCTCAGTTGGCTGGACAGGGAGGAGCTAGGGATGATCATTAGATCAGACTGCAGTACAGCCCAGAGGATTGAGCTAGAATCCAGGGACATTTAGGACGAGATAGGAGGTAGGTATCCAAGGTCTGCTGGACAGATTAGAGATGCTGAGCGGCTGAACCTATCCGGAGGGGCTTTGAACTCTTATGATGGGTCTGAGGATGTGAGTCTCTGCACCTCCCAGACCCTCGCTGCCAGAGTTGTGCAGGGACCCCGAGCCCAGAAGCTGCACTGAGGTTTCTTAGCATCTTGGGCCTGTTGCAGGCTGGGATTTCAAAGCTTGCCTGTTCCTCCTGGGCTATCTGTTGTTGGAAAGACAGGTTCAATGACACAGGATTGTCCCTCCTACCCTGAGCTTTCCTCCCCCCTGGAATTCTAAGATTTAGAAGATGCCATACTTCCTGGGCTTGACGCTCTCCCAAAGATCCCCAAATGGGCTTCGTCATCAGACTCGTTTTTCTGAGAATCAGCAAGCCTGGGCCTTCTGGGCAGCTAGAGAGGGAATTGGCACACCATCCTGCCTTTGAGGGAGGGACCCTGGGCATTCATCAAAGCTGCAACAGAGGGTCAGAACAGCCAGAGGAGAGTTCGTGGCAAGCTTCAAGATAGAGGCTGAGGAGGTGCTGGTGGTTCCCGTCTTGCAGTGTGTGTGTATCAGGCAGCATGAAGAGGCTGGGGCAGCACACGGGCTCAACTTATGAGACTGCCTTGTTTACTTGGGGGTCTGCTTTGTGCAATAAACAAATGTTCTCTTTTCTCAACCCAGTTTCTGTTGTCACTGAAACTGAACTCACACTCTGGGCCATTAGCTGGAGGCAGTGGAGTGGAGAATGGGATCAGGGAGCACCCAGAAGTCCTGCTTGGAAGCAGCGAGGGGAACCTAGGTCAGAGGATGTGGAAAGCTGGATACCTGTATCTTCCTTCAAGCTGATATTGGGGCAGTTCAGATTACAGGAAGCAATCGTAGACTCACTACCTGTGGAGATCCAGAGGTCCTAGGCTCCGCACAAATGACAGGGGATGACAAAGACCCAGGACCCTGAAGCCCTCTGAGGTAGGTGACTAGACTTCTAGTCATACAAGTTACATGATTCTCGAGCATCACTGTGATCAGGCTTGGGGGACACCGATGAATAAAGGACTTCTCCACAGCACACAGGAGAAACCCAGCTCCCCAGACCACCACCACCACCACACACACACACACACACACACACACACACACACACACACACACACACAGAGTAATTAAAAACAAAACCTACAAGGTCTAGGACAGAGTCAAAAGGATCCACTTAGGTACTTCTTTGGTTTGAGTGTAAACCCTCTCTGCAGTGGATGGTACTGCTTGTTTCTAGAAAGGAGGTGCAGAAGAGGGGAGACTTAAAGAGGAGAATTCACTGTAAGCACTTTACATTCGGAAGCTTGCACATAAATTATCAATTCAAAGGGGAAAATCCAAAAGATGGGCTGGTGAGGTAGCTTAACGGGTAAGGGCGCTTGCTGTCAAGACTAAGGAGCTGAGTTCTAGTCCCAGGACCCACACAGTGGAAGAAAAACTGACCCCTAAAACCATTGTTCTCTGACCTCCATGCACACTCCCCAAACAAATGTAAAATTAACAAAGCAAAACAACACCAAAGAAAAACAAACAAACAAAAAACAAAAAACAAAAAAACAAAAACAAAAACACCTCACAAAAACTAGTTTTTGAGACTCCAACTGGGCTGGAGAAATGGCTCACTGGTTAGAGTACTTCCAGAGGACCTTTGAGGTTTCAAAAGTCCACAGCATTCTCTGCTAGCTCACTCTGTCTCCTAGCTCTCAGTTACTGCTCCAGCGCAAACCTGCCTGCCTGCCGCCATGTTTCCCACCATGATGGTCTCAAGGTGTCCAGAGTGTTCCAGATAGCTGGTGCTGACCTCAGGTCACTACGGCTGGATGTGTGACCAACAGCCCTTTGCTCATGGCGACACGGGCAACACGGGAGAATCCAACGGTTGTCCTACGGAGTCAACTGCCCCAGTCTGGTCTTTGTCTGCTCATAGGAAAATAAACATCAAGGGTGTTTGCAAGTTAAAGCTAACTGTTAACGTCAATAGTGGCTTTAACAGATTGCAACAATGCTTAACCCCTGTCCAGGCAGAGGCGGGCCTCCTGCTCAGAGTCCCCAGGCATCAGGACTCCTGCTCCTCAGCTCAGCACAGATGCTAGTAGGTGGGAAGGGGATGCTGCCCAGGATGGAGGCTTCCGCTCTAATCAGATTGCATTTTCCAGGAAGCTCCGAGGCCTCCCAAGGACCTGATTTAGACTAAGCGCGACCCAGAAGGCGAAAATGAGCCTCCTCCCAGACCTCTAGCTCCAGGGTTTCCCAGGTTGGCCAGCCATGGGAATTCTCCCTGTTCATTGGCCACTCATCTGTGACAGACGGCATTCGGGATAGTAAAATTTCCAAACGCTGGTCCCCGCGCATGCGCCAGCTGGTTTCCCGGCGAGCGCCGCGCGAACTTCCGGCCCCGGGAGCTGGAGGGGAAGCTCCCGGTCCCCGGGCGGCTCTGGGCGGGTGTCCCGGGGGCGGGACCGGAGCTTCGCGCAGTCGGGCTCGTGCGGATTCGGCCCCGGCGGGGACGCGCTCCTCGGGGCAGTGCGGCCGCCTGCGGCTCCTTGCTCTCCGCGTCCCCGGGTAGCACCGCTGAGTCCGCCGCTCTCGCCAGGCTGCTGGGGACCGTCCCCTTTTCCCGCGTCCTGCCGAGCGACCCTGGTGAGTCCCGGCCCTCTCCGAGGACACCTCCTCGGTCACTGGAGGGTGAGGCAGAAGGCTCGAGAAGAGAAGCGTAAATAAAGTGCTTGTGGTAGTGGAGAAGAATTGGAAACGACCCGAGTGCATCACTCGGGTTGGTTGAGAAACTGCAACACCCCCATGCCGCGGAAGCTTGTAGGTGCACTAATGAAGAACCGTTGCTAGGTGAAAAACGCAAGACCCAAAGTGGTAGGCCCTTAAGATCTCATTTATGTAAAGCACACATAAAGCACTTGTCGATTCTGAAGATAACAATTTTCGTTCAGTAAAAAGCACAGGAAAAAATACGGCACCGTCATATATCAGATTGTTGGTGAATCAAAAGAAACATGTATTGGTGTATTAACATTCCCCTCCCGTTTTTTAAATTATGATGCTCATGCTAATTTGACTGTTGAAACAAAAAGGGCAAAAATTCGAATCACACTTATGAGAATATTGTGAAGCAGTAGCAACATAAAATCCAAATACATGGCGTTGAATGGTGTTCATGAGGCCTCTATACCACCCCTTATTTGGAGTAAAATGTTTCTGGAATTTGTAAGCTTTTTTTAACAAGATTTTTTATTTTATGTGTCTTGTGTTTGCCTTCATTATGTTAAGCGTACCACATTCATGCAGTGTTTGAGGAGGCCAATAGAGGGCGTCAGATACCCTGGAATTGGAATTAAAAATGGTTGTGAGCCTCCATGTGGATGCTGGAAATTGAATCTGCTGCCTCTGTAAGAAAAACACATACTCTTAACCACTGAGCCATCTCACCAGTCCTGTCAATTTGTAAGTTTTCAAATTTGAGAAAAATAACAGTATGGCCTATCAGTAGAGGGACTTGAGACAACATTCATAATTAAACACAATAATAAGAAAAAAAAAAAAAAAAACGAGACCGGTTTTGCTCTATTGCCCATACTGGTCTCTAACTTTGGGCATTCCTGCCTTGATCCTTACAGTTCTGGGATTACATAAATACATCACCAAGCATGTACCGATATATCCAGTGAGATTTTACAATGGAAGCAGATATGCAGAAAACATACCTTAAGAAGAGCTGAATAGCTGGACAGCGGCAGCACTCGCCTTTAATCCCAGCACTCGGGAGGCAGAGGCAGAGGCAGGCGGATCTCTGTGAGTTCAAGGCCAGCCTGCGCTACAGAGTGAGTTCTAGGACAACCAGGGCTGTTACG